CACCAACGACATAAATCTCTCAGAGCATACGAAACTTCAGAGTCGAAGTGTTCTAGAACTCATCAATTTATGCTTGACAATGTTTTTCCAATTAAACAACAAAATCTACGAAAAAACATAAGGAACATTAATGAAATCACTAATATCAGGAATAACCGCGGAAGCCGTGATGAAGAGACTATATCTTCAAAATAAACTGCTCAGACTGTGAAAAACACTACACGGGACAGAGCGAACGTTCTCTTCAGTTCCGTCCGCGTGAACATCAATTAGTAATCTAACGCCATGACATTTCTTCCCTTACATACATAGATACATACGGACAACCATGATTGAAACAATGTTTAGATATTGGATAGAGGGAGTACAAAGAACATCAGATAATGTTTAGAAGCCTGGAACTCAAGCCAGTCAGCAATCAACAAACACCTTGACATTGACCCAATTTATGAACCAATCAGCTAAACGATGGACAAACAGGATCAAGAAACAGATCAAACGGTGATACAAGCAAAATCAAGGTGCACACAACAACAGGTTTCAGGTCAATAACAACTAATCAAGACCGATGTCAACAGAACAAACTACGAGTCATACGTGGAGAAAATGCGAATACTTCACTTCTCTCTGAAGTTTGTGATGGTGTTGTTCACAGGAATGATGAAAGCTACACAACCAAAACATCCAGCTCAGAAAACGAAACTCTACCTTAATCATCCACTTGAGCTACAAATTTTCTGCACCATCTCAAAATCATATGAGCGTGACAATGAAGCTACTGAATGTAGCTATCGCACCAACACCAATCAGATAGTCTACATCTTCCTACATAACGTAGACTGACAATCAGTGAAATCATAGACAGCTGTCAGGTCTTCATTTTGCCGCACCTGGTTTTCTCCTGCACTCAACAAGAGTCCGCATCGGGATTGGAGTATGCTAGGCACAATAAATGTCTCAATTACCTTTGTTGATGAAGATTAGACCTTCGACACGATACGGTATTTTAGAAAAGAGTTACATTACTAAGCAAGAGTAGTGAAATCTAGAAAAAAACCAATAAGTAATTACCTAACAATATATTTATACTCAAAATTAAACTGTAATCAAAACAAAATTTTTCAAAGAAATACCTGTTTTCACTTTTGGATCAGGAACAAGTTCTTGTGCTTCACTATCTAAATAAACTGAAGCAAATACAGCTGGACTGTTTTTATATTTACTATGCAAAAGTCGATACCATTTGTAGACCTTTTAAAATGCAATAAAAAAAATTTTTTTAAAAAAAAAATAATTCACTTTATCCGTAGAACACGAACGTAAATCTAACATGAAAAATCCAATTGGTTCTTTAACCGGTGATTGACTGTCAACAGCAGATACGGTGACTTTTAATGCACTTCGTTGTAAACGATGTTGTTTTAAACTTGATTTATCTAAATCCCAAGCAAGTTCTTGCTCAAATTGTGGCTCTTCATTATGTTCAATTGGATCGGTTGATAGAACTTCATTATTGAATTTAGCTTCACATACTAAATGATATGTAGGTCGATTAGGAAAGTTACGACCTTAATAAATAAAGAATCAGACAATCATATGATAAGTTATATGAACAGGGAAATTTTAAGATTAGTAACTTAATGATAAGAAAAAAAAACAGTGCATACATTTAAATGTATATATGATTTTTTTAAAGTATTTGAAATAATGTTTAATTGATGAATCACCCCCCCCCCGATATGCATATAATTCACAAGAGACTGACCAATAACAGAAAGATTCAAATCCTGACAAATGAATTGCTTATTTTCCTAACTAATATTATAGAGAACGACAATACAGGTGGGGCAACCGAATTGTATTTCACGGAAATTACAGAGTTACTCAGTAAAATCGGAAAATCATATCGTAAATCGTTAATTTGCAAATTATCAGTTCATCACATCGAACTGGACTGTTCCTGTTGCAAAACATCAATCCAATGTCACTGTTCATGCGTTTCATACAAATTCCATTGTTTTCTAACTCTTCCTTTCTTGATCTTCCCCCATATTATGCTGCCATACATTACGTTGACACTCACGTCATATACTACTTATAAGTAGCTCACACCACAATATTTTTGGGTTGAAATTTATATACATTGTTAAGTATTTTTGATCATTTAATTATTACGCAAATATACACTTCAAGAAGTTTATTTTACATCAATACACTACTTACTTGTAGATTCTAATCGAAGATGAATAGACTAAACCTATCAAATTATCATACTTTTTGATACAGTCACATTAAAATCAATATGCAAACACATAAAACACAACTACTAAGAACCACCTTTATTCAACAGATTAGGTTAAAAACAGTTCATAATAACTGTTTTGTTTTAAGAAATCCGCATGATAAGAAGAATGTTCAAGTAAATAGACAAAAATCTCACAACTTTCATTTTAAGTCAACTTTCCTGTCTGATTTCCTCCTATACGTTGCACCGAAATAAACAGTTATTTACACAATAATAAACAAACGTTTCTTCTCGTATTTAATGAACAATTAACTACGAGTAATGAATATCAATTTTAAAACATAACAAATATCTTCAAGTTCTGTAATGATATAACTGTTTTGTTAAAAAATTCACTAACAAAATTCGTAATACTTAAATGACCAAGTAGTAAAAAATATACAAATTTAGAGACAGAGAATAATATAAAATGCATTACAGGGGTTGTGAAGATTGTTAAGTTACACATTTTTTTTGAAACCATGAATCGATCAATGTTAGACCACCATTAGAAACCTAGAAGCACTGGACGGCCGTTTCGTCCTGGTATGGGACTCCTCAGCAGTGCGCATCCACGACTCCTGCACCCCGCAGGATTCGAACCCAGGACCTTCGGTATTGTGCGCGTCCAGTGCTTCCAGGTTTCTATAGGTGGTATAACATTGATCTATTCATGGTTTCGAAAAAAAAGAAAAAATGAGTAATATAAAATGCCAGAGATAAATGCATATTTATCTGACAGAATACACAACTATCGTCTAAGCAAAAGTGCATTATTTTAGAAGCTTATGTTGTGTATTTAAAAAAAAACATTTATTTAAGGCATTATAATTACCAAATCAGTAGATTGAGGAAGCATTCACTCCATACATCACTATACTCTTCCTTCATTCGATACTACTTTATCCTAACCAAGATAAACCAATATTCAGTGAAACGTTACAAAATTTGATAACTAGTCCTGTTGGTGAACTGTCTTGTTAATTTGCATGTTTTGAGATGTTTTTTTAAAGACATAACATAGAAAGTTATTTTTTCTACTGAATATCTTTGATATTTCATTGTACCTTATGAATGAGCAATCATGTAACTTGACAAATTTTTCATTTATTTAAGTTATAAACGTTTAATTTAATGATATTGTAAATTTCTATTCACAAAGTAACTCATTGGTTATTGAATATCAATATTTACAAGTCTGATTGTTAATCAATGTCAATCTTTGCAAAAATCAATCTATTCAGATATCATTGTGATTCATTTTAGTGTTAAATAATAAATCCTTATTTATCATTTTTATGTTCTTTCCTATACAATGATTTGAATGGGCTTAAATGATAATTACAAGAGATTTTTATTCAAAGAAAATGAACTCCAAGTATCTTAGAGAGATTCTTTTATTAACGCTACTGTTGAAGGTCACTGTGGTATTATTTCTGGAAGTACTTTACATGTATAGTTCAAACAATATGAAGACCTGTTCTAGTTCGACCTTCGTAAACTCGACGATGCTAAGGAAGTTAAAATAATGCTTCAAAAATCTTGTATTGCAGAAACCGAATCCTTCATAAATCTTACTTTAAATAGGGACATAAAATTTTTGTTTGACTGATTCACTAAAATAACGTACTAAATCTTAGGGAGAGCGATTCTGCTTGTTTGATGTTTGTATTATTTAAAGACAGTCAAAGAAACAGAATATAACTGTGAAGAGAGAAGGAGAGTATAGGATACTAGATTATTTTCAGTTTCACAATTTATCTGCAACTTTCTCATCGACATTCTTGGAACAACTCTGAAGGAAATCATTCATTCAATCCGTAACAACGTGGAATTCAGTACGCAAGTACTTCAGTTTAAGTTGCCATACCACATTAACAAAGAGATGCAATTGTCAATTCAATCACATAGAGGTAGAGGTAGTAGAAATATAAGCGGTAATATGGAAGAGTAAGGCTCGAAGAAACTGTTAAAGAAATGTAATCCTGTGAAATAAATTTAATAAGAGAAAGGCGAAGGTGATGAGTAATTCAGAAGATTAAAATTTGCGAGAACACAAAGAATGGATGCACCCGTGCCATCGCAAACTAATTTGTGACTTATCCATTCAGTATAACCGTCGTTTATTATTATCTCGCGTAACCCAACCTGGCATTCGACATCTACTTACTTGGCTGAGTCCAGTTGCCGATAATTTCATGAATTTATGCCATGTTTTGGTTTGGCCATCCTTACTTTTTTTCCAGCTTACCTCAACACCGAAAAACATCCCTCGTCTAGGTAGTCGGTGGTTAGGTATATGTGATACACTTCTTAACCACCTCAACTGATGAACATTGACTACTTCATCGACTGATGTGCCAACCTTACCTAGAGCTCTTTCCCTAATAATGATATTGCTTACTCGGTGGTACCACAGTACACGGGCAATGCTTCTAAGACACTGATAATCAAATAATAGTAACCTATGGATATCCTCTATTCTTAGTGCCCTTGTTTCACATCCATATAGTAGGATAGAGCAAACGTCCGCCTAATAGACGGGTCGTTTGGTTAACTGATGGATATCTCGCCTACGCCATAAATCACGAAAGTTGGTAAAAGTCAATCGAGCATTCTGTATCCGTTCTGAGATTTCGTCACACACCAGGCCATCAGCACTGATGGGACTCCTACAAATATTGAAGCCGTCGTCCAGATCAACTACTTCACTCACTATCACTAGTTCAGGTGCCGATGCAACCCAACCATGAAATGACATTTTGTATTTCCAGAAGGAGAAGTTCATCCCGAACATTTGTTGCGATGATTGCTCGGGGTTTTCAGAGGACCATATTTTGTCACTGTCTTCACCAAGCAGAACTATGTCGTAGTCATGTTTTAACTTGACAAGCAAGTCTCCTGATAGAAGACCCACTACTGAAAAATCAGACGAAGATAGTATTATCTCTAATAGCCTGTCAATAACAAGGAAGAATAGGAATTAAGAAAGTGGACAACCCTGATGAACACCACTTCGAGTAACCGTTTCAGATGGCAGTTCTCCATAAGCTCCCAATCGGTCACCAGTGGTGTTCGAGTAGAGAGCTTGCACAAAGTTATTGAACTTTTTTGGTAAACCTTTCAATGATAGACGTTGCCATAAAAACTCACAATCAAGAGTCAAATGTTGCCTTGAGGTCTCTGTGCGAATGTGGTATGGCAACTTGAACTTGTGTACGTACGTATGAAGTTCGACGTTATAATTAACTGACTGACTGAACATTCTAGATACTATATTAGTCAAACTGATTCCTTTGTAATTGTCAAAAGAAGACGTTTATCGTTTTTACAGGCTTTGACAATGATCGATTGAGATAAGCCAGATGGGATTACGCCCAGTTCGTAGATTTTGGCTAAGTTCGAAGTCAGTTTCACTGCTAAAACTCCAGGTTTAATCTCACAGGTACTGCTTCTCTCGCTTGCTTGAGATTGCCTATAGTTTTTACAACCTCTTTAGAAGTCGGAGAGCTTACATCAAGTTGCCATTTAGCTTGACTAAGCAAGTGTACTAGTTGAACTACTCCTTAAAGATTTCTGCTAATCGACCCAATCACCTGGACTGAGAATAAATGGTGATCTTATCTGTTTTTGACAGAGTCTTGCTAATAGTCGGGTTTCTGATTGCGGTTTCCTTGATAAGTCTGAATAATTATCTACTGTTACCTATCGCCGCCACTTGTTCCATCGTAATTGCTTTGGCTACCTATCACTGTTCACGTTTGTTGAGTAAGATCCTTTTCAGTCTGTGCTTAAGCTACTTCCGATCTTCATTGAGCTTAGAGCTAGATGGGAAGTGTTTTCGGGCGTCCATCAGTTTAGTAGATGCTAAAGAAACACACTACCTCTCCTTACCCTTACAGTTTACCTTACTGATAGACATCACTTCTGTTTCCGCAGATCTTTGGATATTATTCCAATCTGCCTCGGGATGGGCATCATTTACATGGCCATCTAACTGTTTTTCTGGTTGTTCCTGAAATGCACTTTCCACGTTTTTATTGCCTAGCAGAACTCTAGGGGGTTCCCTTGCTGTGTCCTTATGTCCAGTAAGCTGCAGACAAATACGAGCTCGTACTAAGGTATGATCTGAATCTAAACATGTGCTACAGAACAACTGTCAATTTCTTCTCGATCCTCTCTAATATCAATGTGCTCTAGTTGGTTTCAGCTTTGAGACAATTGTGGGGTCGTGTCAAAAGATATTTTTACTCATATCTAAAGTTGGTATTAGCCGGAAATAGATATTTATTTGAGTGAAGCTGCGGCAAACAATCGCGATTATCTGTTCCATAAGCCTTGACGCCATAAGCTCCACCCATGTGTCTTCCAGTTTCGCTTAATCTACTTACTTGAGCATTAAAGTCACCATTAGAGTGCTTAGCTTTTGAAAGTCGGGAAGTTTTCTGTAAAATTTATCTTCTACTTTATTTACTCTTCAATCAGTGTCCCACTCTTTTCTATTCCTTACTTCACTGTTTAGTCAAATGTGCACAAGCTGCTGTCTAATGTAATTCAGTCTTGGAGAGCTAGTTCTGCTTTAGAAATAAACGCTATACCTACACTAGTAAAGTCACGGGAAGCAGCAGTGGGGTTTACAGGTACGCAAAGCGTTAATCGCGATAGTTCTTTATGATGAATTAGTGAGGTCAAATGAATGACTTTACTCGAATACTGTATGTGCGTTTTGGAGACGCAGCACACATCAGTGGCACCAGACTCTAGGTTCGTTGACACGGCAGCCTGTTGTTATATTTGGCACAAAGTCCGAACATTAAAAGCTCCAGCAAGCAGTTTAGAGCGCAGTTTCAGGAGATTAAAAATAAAGTTTCCTGTACTCAAATCATTAGCGGTGCGAAGTGATAAATGCATCTGAGAAGCGTTAGTCTTGGAGATAAGAGAGTTAGTAATAGGTGTAGGAAGGATTCGATTTTGACCAAGTTGATCTCGTTTGCCGTTACGGGTATGAGGGTGGATATCACATATCGACTGCTCACACTGTAAAAGGTTGTTTATTAGGAATCTGCTAAAACCAGATTAGCGTTGGTTTTATAGACCTGAGGACGTGACCACAGAGCTCAGGGCTTAACTGCTTGAGACCGATTACATGTGGCGTTTTTATGATTTATCGAAGTGCTAGCTCCGCTCTTCAAAAGGCCTTACCACCGGAGATGTAAATCCGTGAGGTAAGATAAGGTATGAAATTTTTAGAGTTGGCCTTTTTCAACCCCTTACTTACGCTGTGAGAAGGCAGCATCCGAGAGAAAAACCTTACTGCTATCAAACCCTTATACAGTCAGCAGTATGACTTCGCCGTCCGATCTTGAGTAACTGCTTCTAGTCTCATCATTCTCCGATCGACCTGCCTGGCATGGTAGAATCTACAGGAACATATTCCAGTTAATGCAGCTCGGTACAGTCATCACAATAGGCAAGTCCAACGTCAGGGTAGCAGCTACGGTTGGGCTCTGATAAAAGTAGTTATCGCTACTGCGAATGTTATTTAATGAAGTAATTTTTGATCATGATTATGCATTTGATATTGTCTAACTGCGTAATGGTACTCAAGCTATGCGAACTTCAACGAAGTATTTGGTAGCCAGAGTCAGTAGGTATGATATATACTAAAAAAGCATGTAACACCAGTCCCTTCGAATATATATATATATATATACATACATATATATATTATATGTTAGAACTACTGAGTGGAGATAACTGTTCAATGAGGGATACTAGGTAACAGTACGTGGCTGAAAACCAGTTTGTGACAAATATCACTTATTTTAAAAATGTACCAATAGAAAGCTACAAGTCTAAAAAGATCGCTTAGGTTTGTTTTGATAGTGTCTGTATTTCAAAATAGCGTATTTAACGTGTTTCTTATGAAATGAATTTATCATACGCGCTTTCATGGTACGTTTTGCTTTTCACATTAATTTCAGTAACTTTCTTCTTTCGTTGATCTGCAGTTTATGTGTTATTTATGACAGCATAAGTTACTATGGTTATTTTCGCCAACTATGACGGTTCTGATTATGTTTTTAGCATCCGTAGTGATTTTAAATATAAAATACTTTATTACTGACTCGATGTATATTATGACGAGTCAATATATGATCAAGTATTTTATAATCCGATGAAGCCCAAAAACTTGTACCAGCTAGGATTAAGTACAACTATATATACATATATATATATATATATATATATATATATATATATATATATATAAAGCAACAACATCACTAAACAAAAATATTACAACTACGACTAACAAAGTACATAGTGCTAATGTGCTGTTTCCAATCAATAGCATATAATTAAAGAATGAAACAACTTTGACATTCGAAAACACAAGCTTGCTAACACTACACACAAAAATGCCCGAAACAATCATAATAACATATAAGACTTGAAATATCGCGCACTGCATGAGAATTCTGACTCTGAAGAACATCGAAAATGTTTTCATTTTCGTTTCATTGAACTCTCAAAAACAAACTAACTAGTCAAAATCACAGAAAAAATCGAAAAAGCAAGATGTTGAAAAGTATTAGATGTACCACTTAGTTACATACCTGTGATCAGTGCAACAACAACCAAACGCCGTTCTTTCAATTGCATTTTAAATAAATTGTCAACTATAAGTAATCCTAATCAACATTGTTTGATTCGTGTAAACAAAATCCAAACTACAATGGACAAGGGGATGCTGAAAATCTTATATGTCGATGATTTTTTAAAATATTAAGGCGACAAACATCACTTTGCCCTGAGCGATTCGTACATCATGTCAATCCCTTTTTACGTCAAAGTACAGATCAATAAACATCACATATTTTATCATGCCTTCTAAAGGTCAAGAATGATTGAAGTTTTAGTAGTAGTCATACATTTTCATGACCTACATTTATGACCCACAAGCCTAAACTGTAGCTGTATGATATAATTTGGACATAAAATTATGTCTGTTGCTGCTAGATCCGTTCACATAACGACTTTATTTCAGGGTTTATTATCCAAAATTTTTTCACCATCTAGTAGATAACACTGGATTTTCAGAAATCCATCCTTGTATTTCGGGAAAGTTCCAGGTGTTTCGTAGTTTCCGATAGGCGGTAGAATAGCCATTCAGTTACACTAATTCTAATCCGCAGGAAATTATTTATGAATTTGTGTCCCGCGATT